AGTTAAAATAATATCAACAAAACATAAATATCTGTTATATAAAAACATATAAAATTAAATATTAATTTAGCTATATCACAGATAAGAACATCAACTTACTGTTAAAGCTAATCCAAAAAAATACATGTACAAGTTTAATTAGAGTAAAATATTACGATGTAGACTGCAAAGAAACATAAATGGGTCAGATAACGATAAAACGCTAAAAAAAACAGTCTCTCGTTCAGGGTGTGGGAGGGTTTGCCGAATCTACCGGTTTCAATTGCTAAGGGGAGACGCAACAAAATGCCTTACGGGTACATTAATTTATGCACAGTGTTGGTGACATCAGGTTAAGTATAAATAGAATATTTAAAGTGACTATAGGTACGTATATTGCATTTTCACTTTACCTTGTCGCGGACATGATTAACAATGGATTTGACTTTATTATATTTCTGTCTCAGCCAAATTTACCACTTGATCTTCATATTTTGAGTATTTTCATACTCAAAGTAATGTAAAAACCGGATGAAAACTATTTCACTTCCTTATACACGGGTTGTATAGTGGGTTAAAAGTCGAGAGTACTTTATTTTTGGATCATATACATACATACCAAGTTTTATGAAAATCGTGAAAATCAAAAATAACTGAACAATAACTTTTTCGATATGCGAGATAGCAGAGGTCTTTCGCTCAAAAAATGCTCAAATTCGAAATTTATTTTTATCTATGTATACACTTTTATCAAAACTGACTTAAAACTAATTTCGAGAGGGTTTAGCAGGAAATGTAACAGACAAACAGACGGACATTGGTTTCTCCACATGGAGAGATAGTGGCGATTAATAATTGTATGGTTATAATATGAAGCAAAGCAAGTGCTTGCTATAGCCTAAATTTTGCATGTCAAACAAAGAAACAGAAAAACGAAAATAAGCGTATGTACAAATTTCGAATTCAAATGATAATAATAATAATAATAATAAAAAGTACTATAAATTCAATGAAACTAAGTTTAGCTTAGAGCAACTTTTCTGCCTTTGATTGGACTTATGAAATAAGAAATACTTGCAGTGTACAATAGCAAAAGCCTTTTCGATATCGAGCTGTCTAGAGATATTGAACTATGCATATCTGTATCAGGGATGGATACATTGGTACATCTGAATACACCATAAAAAAGATAATTCTAAAACAATTACAAGTTATTCTTCTCCAGCTGCTGTAAGAGAACGAAAAATATTTATGACAGAAAGAAAATCATTCAGTCTTCTGATATCTGTCGTGATCGTCTTTTTACCCCTCAAACCAACTGGTCAATGAATGCAAGTTACACAGTAAAAGAGGCCACTAAAGGAAGTCTCTTTGAAGTGTAATGGTTCGGAATAGGCACCAGAGCTTATTATATTAATATTCTATTTATACCAATTAGCTAAAATCATATTTCATAACATTTCCATTTAAACACATTCATTCATATTAAAAATATACACATCCCTCAGCCAAACAGTGGGAGAGGGGTAAGCTTTATAAAAGTAGGGGACATATCATGTCCTGTCCTGTCTCTCCATGACAAATAATATACATGTGTATTCATAATAATTACAATTTTGAGGTGGACTTTAGTTTTTACAAGTTATCCATTTACCTTTCTTTTTTTGGACAACACCATATACTGGTGAACTATCTGTCGCAGTTGGTGGAATATTATTGTCGTAATGTGAGTCATTCTGTGAGACTTTTTCGACCTG